CGCACAAAAGATGAGCAAGAGAGGATAAAAAATGGTACTAATTAAAGCCCTACTTGTATGTTGCATCTTCATTTCTCTTGGCTTTGTATGCTTTGCTCTTTATTTCCCTTGGCTTGAGGGCTTAGCAAGTAACTTCTTGGGCACCTTGTCCAAAGGAGTCGTTTTCAGCAGAAAAAGCCTGGAAGCTCGCTCCTGCAGTGTACCTCCACACTTTAGTCCTCGTGCCTGCAGCTCCATCTTTAGCCTGTCCATGCCAAGAACCTACAATAACATTGCGGGCAGAATGTTAGCATCAAAAGAGAAACAGCGCCTCCTAATGCACATAAAGATTAGTTATTTTAGTATATTATTGCAATCTTAGGTGGATGAGTGGCTTTACCCTAGCATATACATGAAAAGATTGGAGTAGCTCCAATGGAAGATAAGATTAGAGAGAGTCTCCTTAGATTGTTTGGTCACATTAAAACAGAGGTCTTCGGATGACTAGGTTAGGAAAGTTGATGTATTAGATTTGACTTATGTTAAGAAAAGTAACGGTGGACCTAAAAGACTTGGTTAGAAATATTAGAAATGATCTTATTTATTAGATTTAAATGAGAATTTGACTTTTAACATGACAAAATGGCGAAAAAGGATTCATGTAGCCAACCCCACGTAGTGGGACAATGGCTTGATGTTGTTGTGGTATTGCAATCTTATTAAACCCATTTTGCATGAATCAACACATGAAGATGAACTAGAATCTGAACTCAGACTTCATTTGGGACAGCTTTTGTGCTACTTATTAAAATAGTTTTCTAGTATAAAAATTTTTAGGAGTAGAAATTTTTGTGCTAGAAAGCAGCTTTTAAAAATTTAAAAAAAAAATCATCCCAAACAAAATCTTAATTTGTGACATGAAGACAAAGCAAAATATAAAATTGCATCTAAAACCCACTCCAAATTCGAACATATTCAGCTTGATTGTATAAATACTACTTGATAAGATAGCAGTTACATATTTTATTTAGTATGTATTTGATATTCTTTGACGTAGTAGTTTAAAGTATGAGAGCACCTATTTTATTAATGATGATCTCTGATCAGAGATCAAACAATTGCATACAACTCATAAGGTTCAAGCATAAATATTCTGCCAGTTTATCCTTTGCATATTATTTTACTTAGATAGTTTATTGTTTTATTGAATTTGACCACGCATTCATTCCATCATCGTTCTGTATTGTGTCAAACATGTTCACAAATTAATTGTTAATGAAAGCAAATACATTACTTTGCTTAAGGTTGACTACGAAGCTAAATCATACTGCAATAATATTTTCCCGAATCATTAAGAAAGCAGCATGTAATGTGTTCACAATAAATTTTTTTGTATCGTCCAACATCAGGGAACTTCATGCTCGAGCTTTTAGTCCATATTACAATATAAAAAAACTAGGGTTACATATTCATCTACTTTTGACATATTTTTAAGCATAATTCCGTCATGGAAAGCCTTTTACCCTATTGAGGCATTTTCAAGTATCTTATAAGCACATATAGAGTTTTTGCATCTCCTTAAGAAGTTTTTCTGCTTGCTTTTACCAATTTATTTTTACTGGGATTCTGGTCAACTCCTTCTTGTCCCTCATAATTTTACATTGCTGGGTATTTCAACCACTCCTAATACACGTCTCTATGTAACTCCTTATGCTTATTATTATATAAATTATGTTCTCTTCTACATCCTGTGCTTTTGTACAAAATAGATCCAAGATACTAAGATCAATACGAGTATCACTAGATCTTAACAATAATCAATTAACATTCACTAAACAATAAACATGCATATTACGTACTCAATGTTTGCCCTATTCACCTTAAGTAATTTGGCCTCTAAATTTCTTATTTCCCTAACATTTCATGTACTTAAAAAGATATCTCACTTGCAACAATTGTTATTTGCAAATAGAATACGTTTAAAGCTTTGCTTTAATTATCTTTTGCAAGAATTTTTGGTAATTATACAAAAAGGATATTTAAAATTTAATGTAACCCTTATTGATCGAAAACTCTATGGTCACTCTAGAACTATTATAATGCTTGTTATTGCTATATCATGCATATATTTAGTGAAATCAATATATGTTTAGAACACACATTTTCTCATTAATAATCAAAAAAATAAATCAACCTAGTACTTGATCACATGCATTTTTAAGATCAATGAAATTCATATGAAGATCAAATTTTGTTTTTGGTCTTAGCATCAAAATTGCATCCATAGTAACTTTCTAGCACAGCATAAATTGGTTCTCTACTCAAAAAATTTTGAAAACCTTTTTCATCATCCGCACTAAAAACATCATTGTATGACTTAAAAGTTTAATTTTCCTATAATTATCATAACTCCTAATATCTTATTTGTTTCAAACATTAGCATTAAAACAATTCTTAGTTAGTTGGCATGTAATAAATTATCATTTTTTTATTAAAATGTATGTTAACCGTTATTTTTAATCTTCCATAATTATACAAATCTCAATAATTACCTGTCTTTATACATCTTCTTTAAAGCTAACTCAACTCCGCTTCTTTTATAAATCGATAAGACACTTCATGATTCTATTAATTTAGCTATTCTAAAAAAAACTAAATTAAAAATCTTTAATAAGTCTCATAATAGCATTTGCACACTTTTTTACACCTTTAATAAGTCTGTGGATAATATAATCTTCACCCTCAAAAAATCTATCTCAGCCAACATCTCTATTTCTCATTTATCTTGTTTTAAATAAGTTGCTCGCCTTTTTTTTTCTTGTCTTATTGCTTAGCCTACAAAAATAAAATCATTAATGGTTGCTTCTTCAACTTTGCTTGCTACATTCTTCGACAAAGTATAGCGTCCTTATTACTATTTGAAGTGTCAAACTATGGTTATTGCCATTATTTAAAAGAATATTTACTTTTTCTTAAATCTGGCTCCAGCACTAATCTTCACAAAAACATATTTCTACATTTTCATAATTTTTTTATGAACAATCTCTTTCAAACAAGTAGCCACTTTATCTCAAATCAAGTTTGGTTCTAGCTTTAGCTTTTTAAATTTTCTCTCTTAATAACATATCTCAGAAGATAAACAACTCCTACCCTTCTAAGTTTTATCAAACTGACCTACGCAAAAATGTTTTTTCATGATTTCTTTTATATTACGAGAACATTCATGCTTGCATCCCATTACTTTTTCATTATGATCATTTCATGTTAAATCTATTATCTATATTATTGATGCATCTTCTGGCCTTTGCACTACATGAATAAACATATCTTCCACTATTATATCTACATGTTTGCTACCCTCATTGTCTTCCCAACATAATTAATTTTTACCTTACCTTCCTCATTTTAAACAAATACACATCTTAGCATCCAAGCATGCATCTTAATATTTCTCATTTTTTCACCACTCAACTTGTGTTGTGTGATTTTCTCATCGCCTAACACATGATCCATAAACATAATTAATCTACAGAAATTTTACAAAATTTACTTTTAAATCCACACCGTATTCTCTTCTCACATAATACTCTAGATGCACTTCTTTATTTATAAAATATAAAACCTAGCTTTAATCTTAGATAGTCTGTCCATATTAACACCATAATTTTGAATTGATGTGATATACCAATCATACTTAACCATATGACATCTAAGGGTGTCGATTGATCTTCAATTACTATTAAATTATAGGGAATTCCAAATCCACTTAATTGAATATAATGTGCTCAATCTTTTTCTTTTTTTTTTTTCAAACTCCTTGTACCTCCTAAAATACTATAGTAGTCTTCTAAATACAACAAGCTACTTAGTTTAACATTAAATTATGCATCTCTTAACATTCAATCTACCTATTTTACAAACATATATTTGGGGATCAATGCAATTTTTGTCTTAGTATAAGGTATTTTAATTAATTGAATATCAATAATCCTTCATTAACCCTATTCACCTCAATAATCTTATCTAAACATTCTTCAATATGCTACTATCCCCACATCATGTTAACCATCCAATCAAAAATAAATTATGATATTCCCTAATGGTTTTTTGGAAATTTCCTTTATATTTAAATCTTTGCAAACATTCGACATCCATTTTTTCTCGTTTCAATATCCCCTAATTCTTTAATTTTCACATTCAATAGCCAAAATAAAACCATACAAGAAGATGGAGTAAAAATATCTCTAGTTCTGTTGCTGAGCTATACTTATCAAAATTCAGTGGTTCCTCCATGCTAGAATAGTCAATGACTTGAGCATCCAGTTCATCACCCACGGAAGGCTTTATCTGGCTGTGCAACTCTGGTTTCAGCTCATCTTTTTCAGGCTCTTTTACCCCATTAGAAATATCATCATTCAGAACAGCTGATTCAGGAACCATAGATTCAGTTTTAGATGAACCAGTTGAGCCAAAATTGTTTTCCCAATTTGGACAACTTTGATCCGCTACGGGAAATATGCCACATTTATCATTTAATTCCTCTGAATTACTCTGTTCTGAAACATTTCCCGAAGATCCTTCATTAAGTAAATTTCCATTTGCCTGCTCAAATTACTCTGGTCTGAAGCTCCACCAGATGACTCTCCATCAGAACTAGCACCAGAACGAATAACTGTTGATGGATTCATGTTGGCTCCCTTATTTTGCCTCAGAAAATTTCCATCATCAAGCACAACTGATTTGCCTTCAGTCTCATCATCATCATCACTATCATTTACATCATCATCATCTTCACTGCAACTCTCATCTACTTTCTTCTTCCCCAGCCTACAAATTCAAATAGAACATCAAGAAAACTGTACATACAAACTCATACAGGAAACTGAATTCAAATTAAGAATTTAACTTTGATTTGTAATAAGAGGTAGCCCCAAAAAAGGAAAAAACCATTATAACGCAAGCCCCCAAGCAAATAAATCGCGGAGGCAGTCGGAAAGGAAACCAAGTCTAATTAATCAAACATACCATATCTTGAATCGTTTGGAGGACCGTTGGGACGATGGGCAGGTCTTCCGCTTCAAATCCCTGTAGACATCAAAGGACTGACGAACAGATTCATCAACCTCCTTCATGCACTTGGCCGAATCCTCCCGGTATTTCTCCAGGTACTTGTCAACATCTACCGAGGAATTCTTCTTTGTCTCCTTCGCCCTCTTCCTCAAGAACTGCTCCCCCAGCTTCTCCAGCCTCCTGTCCTCCGCATCTGCCTTCCATTCCTCGAGCTTCCTCTCCGCGTTGACGTGACGGAGACGGCGGCCACTCATGTCCCTGCACGCGTCGAAGTTGTTGGTTTTCTTCTGCCCAGCCTTAGTAGCCGCTCCACGTAGCAACGATCCAAAGCCGCCCTTGCCACCGGAAAGGCGGAGAAGGAGAACGCATGATGGAAAGAATCCATCGGGCAGAGGCGGAGATTAGGGTTTCGTCGGATACGATCCTAGATCCCGTGATCAAGCGCAGGAAAGGATGATCAGGAATTCTAGTTTTCGCGAAGAGATGTCTTTTCAGGGTTTCGCCGGAGATAATCGGAGATGAGATCTGGAGGCATTGAGTCCGGCCATCGAGAAGTTTGACGAAGATCTGATAAACCGCCATGCGAAAAAGAACCTTGGAGTTCAATAGGATTTCCTCTTCCCTCTTTCGTTTTTTTTATTTTTTGAGACTTTTGAGCAATTAAACTCAAACGCATCATATATATATTCGCTTAGATTATTATAATGGAGGACCGGACAAGTCGCTCTGCTCTCTCGCTATGTAGGGCCATTTTTATGAGAAGTTATTCCTTCCGCTAAAAAAATCGAAAATTCAGGCGTGCCTATTGTCTAATATCAAATTTTAGGTGATGTGGTACATAATTATTGGTCTCTGAATGTATCAGGTGACCGGATATAATAATTGCTCTATTTTTATAATGAGCTTTGATGTATTATCAAAAAATTATCTTGATCAAGCACGAATCTCGAGGCAAAACCTACCTGGAAACTTTAAAAATTAAATTCAAGAGCATTTGAACTCTGATTTCAGCGAGCTTATAGTCAAACTAAGCGTCTCGGAAATACGAACCCAACGACACCAAATTCGACCCAATATGAGCCCAAATGGGTCTGAATCATGGACCTAAAGCGCTGTTGGAATGTTCAAACCGCAATTTGAGATACCAAATGGTCTCCAATTTTAACGATTTTATACTCGAATCGAACGGCTCGACGAGAAGAACCCAACGAGCCCAAGATCACCGAATTCCAACATTACTAAGGCCTTCAAATGTCCAACAAACGGTGCACGATCGTAGGATTCAAAATTGGTCGTCCATTCAACCACTCCCTATTCGCCCCTGTTCTCACTCCTATTTACGAGCTATGCCACTCTAGAAAATCTATAAATAGAGCCCTCATTCTTCACAAGGGGATCCAAGTGAAGAGAGAGAAGAAGGAGACAAGGGACGGAAGAGAAGGAAGAAGCTCATCCTTGACCACCGTCG